GTGGTTCAGGGGCTTCACGGTGGAGCTGTTAAAGAGATTGAGCGAGGAGTTGGTTCACCTGGAGCGTTTGGGGTGCTCTCTGAGATGTTTTCTGTTGTTGGAACTGGAAGATCTCCTCCCACTGGATGGCACTCATTCCAGCCTCTAACACTTGCGGGTTTTCCCTGGAAGGCTGAAGATTGAGCTTGGCTTAGGAAGTGGTGGGTTTTGGAAGTGTCAGGTCAGACATGGAAACTCCTAGAATCTCAAAGTAGGGTCTAATGGCACTGTGAAAATGCAGTAGGTAAACATGACAAAGCCAACAGGTAGACTTGTTTATTGGTATTTTGCCCTAGCAGCTCTTGAGTAGGTTTGGCAGTTGTGTGGAATGGATTTCTCCCTGACTGACTTGGCCCCGGCTGCCTGGGTGTGACTGAACACACACCTTGAAAGCACTGGTATTTGTTGCGGTCAGTCTTTCCTTGGGCTCTCTTTTGTCCCCCCTGAGATCTAACCCATTCCTGGGCTTGTCCAAGCCGCCTCTCTCTCCCCAACCTGTCTCCAGGTACCACTCCCTGCCAGGCACCCCGGTCCTCGCACGCTGGCATTTGTTTGGAAGCACTGCCAGAGGGAAGCTGGTGGCTCCGAGGGTTGGGCTTCCGGATAACGACAGGTGTGGCGGAAGCCCTGCCACCTCTCATTTGTTCCAATGTCTTTATTTACAAATTGAGACTCAAATGAAGTGACTCCCTCCCGAACATCCAGCTGGCGAGAAGGAGTCACGGGCTGTTTTCTTCAGCGGACACCTAGCGGGAACCTCGCCTCATTTGGTCATCTAAACTCGGCCTTTCCTAGGGTTTTCCAAACCGCTGTTATTTGCTAGTTGTTGGAAGATGGAGGTTAAATGGCTTGGGATGCACACAGCTCTGTGGGGAGGCCGCAGGCCTCAGGACAGATGCGATGTGTGGGGGCTGGGACGGGTCAGCACAGTTCATCGCTGATGGACGCGATGGCTACTTACCCAATTGTCCGGCCTCTTGCTGACCTGCACTCCTGTCCCCAGTCGTGGCTCCGTCCTGTGGCCTACCTAGGACAGGGCTCAGAACCCGCCTCCTTAGCGCTGGCCCAGCTCATGGGGCCACAGACATTCCGTCCTTTCTCCTCCATCCTTGCTCCTGCCCTCCTTCCTCCCTGCGGCTGTCCTTCCCTGTCTACACTCGCGGACAGCATTTTGATCTTCTCAAGGGCTTTGCCATTCTTCCACTCCTGTGCGTACAGAGCCTCGCCTTGTAACACTCAGTCACTCTCCACCATTGCGCAGTTAACTATCTGCTGAGCCTGTGCACATCTTCCTTCTCTGCTGCTTTCTTTCCTTAAACATCATTGATCCGGCGTCTACCCTTTTCCAAACTGGCTGGACATTTCTGGAAGTGGTGGCAGGGGTGAGGGTTGTCTGCCCTGCCAGGTGTTTGTCCTGTGTGTGGGGCTGGATCCTTGGCTTCCCTCGTGTACCTCCTCAGCATTTTGGCTGACATCCATTTTCTTCCCATGGCCCGTGATTCCTCCAGTCCCTCCCCGTGTGTGTACACTCTAACACGAGCTGTCACACCCCGTAGAGCTTCCCATAGTAGCCGCAGTATGGTGAGTGTGTGTGCTCCAATCTTCATTGCTTTGCAAAGCAATGTCACATGTCTGCCCCTCCTCTTGGAGCTTTGCTGGTCTTCTGCTGATCGCTGGAGGACGTATGTCAGATGTGAGCCCCTCCCTTAGCTTTCCTTACTTCTTGCTCTCTAGAGCATGTCCCGTGACTATGTATTTGCCTACTTGTTCCTTATGTTTGCCCATCTAGAACACAGGCTCCATGAGGGAGGTGAACTCTGGTCAGTACTGGGCACCTTGTGGGCCCTCCTGTTCCTGTGACCACAGTCGGCAGCCCAGACCCCACAGCCGTCCTCTTCCTTCCTGTAGTTGGATTCTTAGCCTGTTGAAACTGAGGAAGGCAACAGTCTTTAAGAACTGTGGTTTTCCATTTCTTTTTTTTTCTTTTTTTGGGTCCAGTCATGGGGCCTGAACTCTGGGCTTGGGCGCTGTCCCTCAGCTCTTCAGCTCAAGGCTAGCGTTCTACCACTTGAGCCACAGCACCACTTCCGGCTTTTTTCTTTTTGCTTATATAGTGCTGAGGAATCGAACCCAGGGCCTCAGGCATGTAAGGCATATGCTCTACCACTGAGCCACCTTCCCAGCCCTGTCCATTTCTTATCTGCTGGACACCTCTGACTGCCTCTGTAATAGTTCTTGGGTGCTGCAGATGTGTGAGTTCAACTTCAGCCCTCATAAGGAGATACCTGTTCCAATGTGGCCCAAGTCCATCTTGACTTAACCCAACCGGGTTTCAGTTTTGGCTTGTCTTCACAGCTGGCTTCTCTTCTGGTCCTGTTCCTGAGGGATGGATGGCCCTTCTTCCTGTCTCCAGTGCTCATGGATCCTGTGATCCTTCTTCTCTCTGTCCGTTTTGTCACTGAGGCCTGTTATTCTTTCTTTCCAGATGCTATCCTTCTTTCCTCCTCTGTCTCTCATGCCTGTTGGGTTGTCTGCGCCAGTTCACACTGGCCATTGCTGCCAGTCTTTGCCAGAGCTCCTCACAGCTTGCTGCCTGAAGAGGCTGAGCGTCTGCATGTTAGTGTCAGACAGTTCAAGACTGTGTTCCCTCTCTAGAATGTTCTATTCCCACAGCTGTTAGAGAAGTACTTGCCTTATAAAATTGTTCAGGATCAAGCAAATGTCATATATAAGGTGCTTTGGGAGTCAACCCAGAGTTAGATCTGACATAATCAAAACATAAGATCATTTTTTGATACTTGGGCAAGGACCCTCTATTATAAAACAATGAAGTATGAAGATTTTTTTGGGTATGTATGTATGTATGGTGTTTTTAAAACCAGAATTAAGTTTTTAATCTTCCTTTCAATCATAATGTTTAAACATTTCTGTCGTCCAGATGGCCTTATGGAAGAGTAATGCCACAGGATCTTGGGGTGCTCAGGTAGTTGTCTGTAGCTAATGAGGAAGAAATGTTAAGGCCATATGACAGAAATGGGTGTCGGTCCAGTGAGCAGAAGCACTCACGGCATTTGTTCCGGAGAAGTACTGGGGCCCCAGGCCTTGGCTGGTGAAGCCATGAGGGGTTTTGGGCAAGGACCTGCTCCTGGGAGGCTTGCACTGGACGGAGGCATTGGCAGCGGGCAGATGGCCTGTGTGTGATTGTATTAGTGTTCTTTCTCGTTCACTTCACATTGAGTCTTCTTCTATTTTTGTCTTCTCTGATTTTTAATAGTCAATTACGTAATAGAAAATTAAGGAAAAAAAAAGTCCGTGCTGAGGGACAAGGGTCCAGGCTTCGTTCCTGCCTCAGCTCTCCAGTTCTGATGACAGCGTGGTTCTCAGCTGCCCTGCTGTCGCTGCTCTCTACATTTCCTAGCTCGCTGCACTTGGAGGTGAGCAAACTGAGATCCAGAGACGCTGCGCTCCGGCCACCCGCCGCCCGCCTGCCGCCCGCCGGTGGAGGTGAGGACGCGTGATCGGGAAGCCTTCGGTGAGAAGTGGTGATGAACCGTCACATCTCGCACGTAGAGCTTTCCTGCGTTCCAGACATGGTGTTAAGAGCTTCCATAAACCGTTTCTCCTACATTGAGGGATGACCTGGCTTAGCCATCATTAGTTCAGTCCTTCAGATACAGAAACGGAGCATCAAGAAACATAACTAAGAAGTTAGTTTTGGAGGAGGCGTTTGATTTCCTCTTGGCCTGTGCATTCCCTCATGCCCACTCATGAGCCCACCTGGGTGGGTAGAGCTGAGGCCTTAGGAGGAAGCGTTCATGTACACATGGCAAGCTTTGGATGTGAGCCTTGGTTTGCTAGGAAAATAGACCACCAGATGTGCCGTGGATAAGAAGAGCGTGTTTGTTTTGGTTCTGTTTAGAAGAATGTGGTCATTGCCTTGGTAAAATGTACCTGCAGGGACACTGGGAGTTTTCTGAGGAACCCGATCTGCCAAGGCTGCAGATTGGGGGCGTGGCTCTGGGCGCTGTGGAAGAGGGGCTTGGGAAATAGTGATAGCAGCGAGCACGTTGCTGGCACGGCCTTTTAAAAAGTAGCTCACATCTTTGGGGAAATCAGACTGTCTAGTAAGCCTTTTCTGGAATTGAGAAAGATGGATCAGCGTGGTGAGAGCGAAGCCTGGGTCTGTCTGCCCTCAGCTCTCCCTGCCCGGCTGGCCTGCGGCAGGCGCTCCTCCCTGCCCCTCAGCCTCTCCGGCAGGTCCCGCTGGGGTAAGGGAGGTGCCTGAGGCGTCCAGAAAACAGACTGGCTGTGGTGGGCTTACATGCTAGGGTAGGACCTGAGTGGCACTGACAGGAGCCTGTCAGAGCGAGCAGCGCGCCTTTGGGCGGTGGCCACAGGCGTCAGGTCCACACTGGCCATGTCCTGGGGCAGCGGTGCCACAGCACCTCTCCCTCCCCTCCTGCCCCTCCCCCTCCCCTTCCCTCCTTCTCCTCCTCCTCGCCTCCTCCTCCTCTTCCTCCTAACGCAGTCCCTAGTATGGGACAGAAACATCTGCCCTTAGCTTCATAAGATAATTATGAAGGGTGAGATCAGGGCCAGGTCTTGGTAAATGCATAGAAGAATCTCTGGACATCCATTAACTTTCTCTTAGGTGTTATTTAGTGGACAGGAGTGGTAATTTACTGTTGCAAGTAGTAATTTAGAAGATCTAATGTGTGTGTGTGTGTGTGTGTGTGTGTGTGTGTAGTGAAAAAGACCTCAGACTCTTGGAGGTAAAAAGCAATACTTTAACTTTTTCTCCCTATTTTTGAAGAGTTTATTCACGTAGGCTATCACTTTTAGATTCCAGATACTCTGTCTTGGTGGGAAGACAATCTGCATGGGAGAATCTGAAGGCCAGGCTTTGCCGTGGGGTGGGAGGTGCCGCAGGGTGTTTCACACTGAGGTCCTGGTGGTGCGGCATGGCTGGAGGAGTGGACCTCTCTGCCGGCCTCACTCCACACTCCTCCTCCTCCCTGCCGGCCTTGCTCCACCCTCCTCCTCACCTCTTGGGGAAGGTGGTCAGCGGCCAGCTGCCTGTGTACAGGGAGTGCTCCGAGCTCCCTGGCTCAGCACGGTGCCTGCGTGGGCTCTGCCTCAGTCAGCGTGGAAGATGCCGGGTAAACACTGCCCGGCCGCTCACTCGCCACCACCGGCCCCGCCTGGCGCTGGATGTCACTTTGTTTTTACTGATGACGGGCGTGACACACTGAAATGAAACAAAGAAGAAGAATGGCATTTCATTAGGCTCTCAGGCAGTGACAGCTGTATTTGACTTCAAAATTATTATTTTGAGGATTTCTACAGGTCGATCTAATGAAGGACACATTCAGAACACAGTAATAAAAGGCTGCCCACTGCAGTCATTCAGGCTGACCGAAAACACGATTTCACCATTTTTTTTAAAAGATGATTTTAAAGCGATAAGTAGCTTAAGTGTCAGGAGTGCTCGTGGTATTTGGAATGGTGAAGGCCAACATCCATTACCTCATGTAAAACAAACATACTGTTTTAGAAGAACATAGTCTTACGCTGGAGGAGTAGCTCAAATAGTAGCGCATTGGAGACTCTGATTTCACACTGCTAAAAGAATCTGTTCTTTCCTGGGCATGGTACACTACCATGCACATGCCTGAATCCCAGCACTTGAGAGGCTGAGGCAAATGGATTGGGAGTTGGATTGGGAGTTCTAGACCCGTTGAAGCTAAATAGCAAGACTCTGTCTTAACTCCTCCCCCCTCAAAAAGAAGTCATGGAGCATTTTCTTTTCATGCATTGCCATGTATTTATTATTATTATTTTTTTGGTCCAGTCATGGAGCCTGAACTCTGGGCCTGGGCGCTGTCCCTCAGCTCTTCGGCTCAAGGCTAGCGCTCTACCACTTGAGCCACAGTGCCACTTCTGGCTTTTTTCTTTTTGCTTATGTGGTGCTGAGG